CTTTCCCTGGGGAACTCAATTTATTAGTCATTTTCTTCTGCCAGTGTGGGTCTTACAGCCAATGACAGGAACAATGGCAAATACATAGTAGTAAAACCATAAAAATTGGCAGAGGCGTGCAGATGCAATTAAATTATTCCAGCTCTTTAAAACAAAATCTGGTCCAGTGTCAGGCTGTCAGTTTGTGTAATCAGTTTCCAGTTTTTTAAAACACACTGCAATCTTAATCTATAGGTGTGATCCAAATAAGTAAATGGAAAGATACCCACTGATTTCAGTGAGCTTTGTATGATGTCCTCATTACTTTATATAAATTTCTGGGAATAGTCATCTCTGAAGGAGACTAGGAGAATGAAACTCCAACTCACCTTAGAATATCAGGAATTTATTTTCTCTAATTTATGAAACTTCGTGCCATTGGAGAAGGTGCCATCTTTCTTTTGAAGGATGGATATAGATTTTCTTCTGAAGGATGGTTCCAGTACCTATCAAGTCTATATATGTTATGATCTTAGCTGAATTTATCACACACAGGAGTGAACTGGTGTGACTGACAGAAGAATTCAGGCTTGGGAAGAACTGAAAGTGTTGGCTTCTTCCCTGAAAGACTCAAAGTGAAATGCTAAGTTATTGTTCTCTTGATACCTTCTCAGAATTTATAACTGCTACTCTAAGAAATATTTTACTATTTTATAAGATTAGCATGCCACCAGAAACTAGAGAATGTCAAACGATAAAGCCTATAGAAATAAGACTTTCGTTGTACTGTTATATGAACAATCTGTTTGAACACATCAAGAATAATTGATGAATGCTGGAAATTGTTGTGAGAGCTATTGTTTTATAACCACAGTGAGGATTAACACACATTTCTTGTAAGAATGAAAACTGACGTAAATTACATCTCAATACTGAAATGGGATACCCTATACAAGATATTTGTGTGCTTATATATATGTACACACACATACATATGTACATATAAATATGTATCTAAGACAGCAGGCTAGAAACAGAGAATATGTGAACAAGCGTAAGAGGTCTTTCCCCCATTAGGTAAAGTACAGTTTTACTGTTCTGCAGTCAGACTAATTTTTCTTTTTTTTTCTGGAGTAGTTAAGAGCTTTCCTGAAGAGTGGAATAAGGTAAAAATGTGATATATGTACATTGCATTATATCTGTGTGGTCTATCATATCTATGGTATATTGTAACATATAGATGGTATACATATGATAGGTATATATGGCATAATAGTAATGATTCATGACAATAATATGTTGGAAGCCTTCTGTGCTTTCCTATGAGACATTTATCGGACATGCTTTTCTTTCTAGAAAACAGTCATGGTATACAATATTGCATATAGTCAGCTGCAGAAGGTTTTTATTGCATTCCCTGTGACAAAGCTGGCAAATACTGAAGCATCCATCTGAAGCAGGCTACTTCTGTTAGTAGAGGAAAGAAAAGTAAGGTGCACATTTAACTCCCTGTTTTAAGTGAAATGTTGTGCAGAGATGGACTATGGACAATCTCAGCAGCTTCACAGGAGAGGCTGGCTGCTCCTTGAGCAGGAGCGACTGGTCTCTAGAACACAGAAGCAGCTCTCCAGTGTGCCTGAGATACAGCCGGTTTCTGGGTGTGGGTATCAGGGCTCTGCCTCTTCCCATAGCTCCCTCCCTCACTTGTAATCTTGCTCTGGCAAGACAATAGTATGCCTGTGCCGCCTGGACCCCAGGAGCTGCTAGTACAAGAGGGTCTTATCAAACCATGAGAGTGAGGAGTAAGGCCCCATCTCACATTGCCCACCCCAGTTCTGCATGGCTGTGTTCAAGTCACTGACTGGTCCAAAATTCTTGTCTGCGGTTCTCTCATTGGCCTTTTGTTATTCATTTTTGCTTGGTTCCAGTTAATTTCTGCATGTTTTCATACACTTCCTATCAGAGGTACAACAGTTTCTAGGAAGTAGCTGGCAGCGAAGGTCAGACATCTGCCTGGTGGCCATGGAAGTGGCTGATGCTATATAAACAGAAAAGAGCAGGAGCCACACTGAAAATGAGGTTTACCTGAGGGGTTAAAGTAGTCAGGTATCAACAAGACAGAAATGCTCTAAATAGCTGGAGAACACCAAGAACAAGGATTTGGAGCACAAGGAGTAAAGGGTCAGGTGCCTGAGCACCTGGGGAAGGGAGAAAGAGAGCAGAGAATGAAAGAGAGACTTGTAAAGGGATGTAGCCAGTGCAGATGAACTTCAGAAATACATTTTCTGCACTCAACAGATCTTCAGAATCCAAAACAAGCCTTTAAGTATGACTTTGCCAAGGAAGTAGGTGACCTGTTTTAACAGGAATGGAAACTGCATATCCCCCAGTAGGAGAGGAAATGGTAAGACATTTCAAAACAACACATTCATAAAAAGTGGTGGATACTGTGAGAAAATTTCAGCAATGCCAGAACTCTAGTAATTTTTCATTCCACTGCAGGGGTGGAGCAACCAGTAAATGAAATGAAAAACACTATAAATAGTATTCCTTGATGTAAGATATTGTCATCTGAATATTACTTTGTGTATTGCTGTTAACTGTCCCATTTTGTAGAGATCAATACAAGCAGCTTCCTTATTATACAGTATTTAAAAACCAGGATACATGGTGAAAGTAAAATTCACTTAACTGCAATTCAATTGAAATACGTTTTGAGTTCTTCTGGAGGATGGGAATGTTGGAACATAAATAAGGATTATTGTAAGAAATAGCATACTAGAAAAAGGTGAGGCAAGCAAAATGAAACTTAGTATACCAAATTTCATATGCTAGTAAAAATTGTTTTACAAATATTCTTTTCAGAGAGACCAGTTGCAAAGCGTAACAAGGAATGAAAATGTACCATAATACACTCCTGAAAAGGCTCATTTAAAAATCTGAGCTATTATTAAACAGTGGCAGACTGCTCAAGTCAAACATAACTCTCAAACCATAAGAGCTTTAATATATTAATGAGGTGGTGAGTCCTGTTGCTATTAGGATACGTTATGTTTGTGTACTTTATGCAAAACCAGAGATTTTTAAGCAATTGTTCTGTGCATGTAAAAAACCACCTGAAATAAATAAGATTGTTTGTGAAGAAGTATATCTGATGTCTAATACAGTGGAGTTTCTTTTTGGTTATTTTTTCAAGTGAAGATGCATATAGCTGGATGCTGGATATGCTTACTGGCTTTTTATGCTATTTCTGCCCTACTTCACCTTTCTGTATCATTCTCCTGAAGTCTCCTGGGTGCACTTGGCAGTTTGATTATGTATCATGTGTCTATTGAAAATATTACTTGCCTTCTCTGTTACTGGAATATTTTATGTTGCTTGTATTATCAATTGCTTTTAAAATGAGTGGTTTTCCCTATTAAAGTCCATATAGAGTTGAATATCAAATAATAGCATTTTCTGCTCACCCCTGCTTCTTTTTGAGTGGATTTAAAGAGTACTTTGCAAAGGGCAATACACCTATTACATTTATGAGGGAACTTAGCTTGTATGCAAGAGACATTTCCTAAAAAACTTTCTAGGTTTCTAGCAGTTTCCATGAAATATGCTTGATTTCGACCCCGTTAAATTATGAAGATATATACCATAAAGCTTTGTTTAGAAAAGCTGAGATGGTGGCCAAATTGCTTGAGGAAACATAAAAAGATTAATGATTGAGTTCTGCCTGGCTCCCAGATTCTCACTTCCTGATTCAGTGTAACTGAGACATATCACAAAGATGACACATATTGACTCTGGGGAGGGAGCAGCAATTATTTGCCTTATTATTTTCCATGTCAGGCAAGTAATAGAGCAATATTGTGCCAGCCAGTGAAAGAATAAATTTCTGGCTTGTCTGTCCTTCAGCTTGAAGGACTGTTGTACATACTTCTCAAAGACAGATATATATTTTGAAATTAGGACGTTACTGCAAAGAAGAACAAAAATATCTAGATCTTCCACTAGATTCTACTTTGAAGTAAAACAAAATACCAGGAAGTATAAACAATGCTCAGTTCCCATATTAATGCCCTTCCAGGGAAGTCGCCTATGGATCACCAGCTCCAGAAATATTATTTTGATGGTAGTGTTGTGTAGTCTTTCTCCCACAAGGTAGAGCAAAGGTGTTTAATGTTTGTTTAGTCATTCTCAAATGTCTGTACATATTGCCTTTGTTGTTTGTTTGTTTCATAGATCTATTTGCGATTCTTGGACTACGAGATGCAGAATTCCAACGAATGTAAAAGGAATTTTGTAGCTGTTTATGATGGAAGCAGCTCCGTGGAGGATTTGAAAGCGAAGTTTTGCAGCACTGTTGCTAATGATGTAATGCTGCGGACAGGTCTCGGTGTAATCCGTATGTGGGCAGATGAAGGCAGTCGAAGCAGCCGATTCCAGATGCTCTTCACGTCTTTCCAAGAACGTAAGACCCTAACCAATGCATCTGCCTTTCAGTTTGTTAAATGATACAAGTCCCAAAAACTGTTAATATTTTCTTTCTGCAGAGTAGTCCCTGAAGAATGTTCCCAAACAAGCTATGTAGATATTCAGAACAGTTTTTATTCCAAGCATTTATAGTGTGCAATAATTTGTAACTCAGAGCACAGGATTCAGACACAGGAAGACAGGCATGAGTAGTCATGCCCTGGCATGTTGTATGACTGTGACTTTTATCTGATCCACAAGCTACCGGGCCTCTATGTCTCAGTTTTCCGTTACACAATGTGGAAAATAACACAGCTTTGAAGGTTTTTATCAAGCCTGATCCTTTTCTGTGAAATTGATTTTTTAGATCTCATTATGATAGGCATTTGAAAAATACATTATGATTATTTTATCACAGATGGTGGGTGTGTTTATGCATATTCCAGAATGCATATATCAGTAAACATATGTCAGATATTGTTAAGAAAAGGATTTAATTAATTTTTAGTAGTAACAGAAGTTTTCTGAAAGCTTTACATGACATTTTGGTTAATATTCTCTCTATGTGCCTTGCCTGCATTCATATGTTTGTATGATTTCTGAACTCAGATAATAAGCAAAACAGCCTTTGAAAGAAACAAAAGGTCGTTTTAGCCAGTTTAAAACAAACAAACAAACAAACCACAAAAAACCCTCAACAAAACCCAATAATCCCATTCACTGATGCAGGTAATCACCTGTGAAAGATATCAATTCATTTTCTTTGATGGAAATAATGCATATTTGGTCCCTTGAGGAAGGAGTATACGCATTTATTTTCACATGCTGATTCATGTTAATTTTTAATATATTTTTTGGTTTGTGCGTTGCATGTCTGACAGGAAGATTTCTGTGTGGTTGTCAGTGGTTGGAATGAAGGTGTAATCCCACCAAACACATTCTTCATCTGTATTCTGTGTGTGTGTATCCTGCAATGAGGCAATGAGACTCTGTTTAGAACAGCCTCTGTAATTCCTTAATTATGGCTCTGATTAAAAATCTCTGACACTCTACATGCCTGAAACTGCATATGCCACTGTACTCTCACACTGCAGCCTTAGGGTGGATTATATTTTTCTTGTCAGTAAATCAGGCCAGGGTCTAAAAGATACTGAGAACCCTCAGTCAAGATGATACTGCCCTTTTCTCATTTCTGCAACTGGAGATGTCTTGAATATTCAAGATTTGATTCATTTTTTTCACAAGGCATCCTGATCTGTTACCGTAGAAACAACTGCATAGACACTGGAGGTTCACAGCATATAAAGAACTGGAGAGTGAAGCGCTATGATGACTAACTTGAAATGAAGGTTTGAATAAGTGTATGTTTGCAAGGCTTTCATATTTTAAAGGAAAATAAAAAAAAATATGTTTTTTTCTCTTACAGTATTCCTAATACGTTTACCTGACATGCTACATCTTATGAGCTACACCATTCTTGTAAACAGATGATAGTTTATACTGCATGGTATTCTGACTGGGAAGCTGAAAATATTAACATGATGTGTTTTCTGTAAATTTATTCTGAACAGTCATTGCACGCTAAAAGCTGAAAATTTATTAAGGGCTAAATTATGCTTTCAAATATGTATACACAGCCTGCTCATAAATAGTGGAAGAAACTGCATCTGTGGTTTTAATGCTAGAAATTGACTTTAAAGATTTAAAGGTGATGCAGATTGTACTTTCTGTGCCATGTCAGTTGTCCCTAAGTGCTGCCCTATGCCGCAGACTGGTGCTGGCTGTCAGGAGTCAGGTAGAGCAGATATCCGTTGTGCGCACAGCAAGACACAGCTCGTAGCATGTAAACTGCAACGTCTTTCAGCAGCGTGTGGGAATAATTAGATCATCTGCATGGAGGAGAAGGAATGTCAGACCTCGTTCAGGGAGATGTTCATCAGGGAACAGACACCTGTGTCTCTGCTCGCAGGCAAAGAAAAAGGAAAAAGGCTATTTTGTTCACCTAGAGCTGAGAAAGAAACAGAATAGAAGATGACATTTATGTTGTGGTTATGTGCATGGGA